GGATGCTTCAATGCGGCCCTTTACGCATTAGGCATGGTGTGGGTCTCGGTGTACTTTCAGCTTCTTCTTCACAAATACCACATATTCTCACTGGGGTCTCAGCTCAGGGGAAATTTGCTAGGCCTAATCGAGGACAGTAATGCCATGGCAGTAACACCAGTTACTGGTCGGTTTTGGCAACTGGGGCAGGTGCCAGATCATGCGGAAAATGAATTCCTCATCTCCCCATAGAGCTTTTCAGCAGACGGAAGCATGTAGTGCTCCTAAAATCCTGGTACACAGCCTGCATTTACTTGGGCTTGATGAAACACAGTGGACCCAACCAGCAGCGACAATGTCCCCAACCATCGCTGACTGTGGGAACTTCCACACTGGATTTCAAGCCAACTTGGGATTTTTGCTCCTCTCCAGCCTTTCTCCAGAACTCTGGCGCCTTGACTTCCAATGGAATAAACAAAACTTGCTTATCGTCTGAAAAAGAGGACTTTGGACCACTGTGCACTGTCCAGTGCCATCTTTTCCTTAGCCCAGTCAGACAGGCTCTCCCGTTTCATTGAGTTTCACGAAGTGGCTTTTGACCATGGGAATACGGCTATTGTAGCCATTTCCCGTGACACTTGTGAACAGTGAACTTTTGATACCTGGACTCCAGCTTCAGTCACTTCTTGAAGCTCCCCCAATTCTGGAAGCGACTCTTCTCACAATTTCTGTTAAGGCTGCGGTCCATCGCCTCTTGGTTGTGCAGCGTTTCCTCCACATTTTCCCCTTCCAACAGACTTTTTGTGGAATTTGCTTGAAACTGCCCTGTGAACAGCTTGCTCTTTGAGAAATTTCTTTTTGTGTTTACCCTACCTGATGGAGGGTGTCAATGACGGTCCTCTGGACAGCAGTCAGACTCAGCAGTTCTTCCCCTACTTGTGATTTAGTGTACTGAACAAGAGTGTTTTTCTCAAGGCTCAGGAACCCTTGCAGGTGTTGTCGAGTTAATTAGACGATTCAAGTGATTCGGTTGAACACCCTACAGTATAGACTTTTTCATGATATTCTAAATATTTAGAGATAGGACGATTTAGTTTTCTTAAGCTGTATGCATAATGCAGCAAATTAAAAAAAAAAGCTTGCCAAATATTTCAGGTTGATTTGTATGAATCCAGAATGTATGGACATTTTGTTTTTTTAATTGCATTAACAGAAAATAAAGAACTTTATCACAATATTCTAATTTGCTGAGACAGTCTTATATACACAAGAAAAAAACTGAATAAATGTAACCTAATATCCCAGACACGTGCACCAGATGTTGGGGAGGAAAAGGCACACTGTGTCCTTGTCTTATGGTTATGTCCAAGAATAAGGATCTGGGAAGAGGTTAGGGTAAACAGTACCAGTATAGAATATTTTAGTGATCAGCTTAAAGCTGGAACCAAAAATGTTCCTACTTGGCCTATATCCGGAGGGACATAACATACAACGTTATAAACAAGTTTTTATAGATATATGTTTTTTACAAGCAAAAAGAGTGATTGCCTTAACATGGAAAAAGTTGGGCAAACCTAGTATTGCACAGTGGTTTTGGGAACTTTCTTTATGTCTGCCTTTAGAAAAAATCACTTACAAACAAAGACAAACAAGAACTGTTCCAGAAGGTCTGGGGACGTTTTATAGAGTATACCAAGAACAACGACCTATCTCAATTTCTGAACGAACCTGGGGCAGGATAATGCGATAATTCTATAATATGCTATAATATGTTAAAATGTAAATTACTGTGATATCCTTTGTAGAAATATGGTCCTATTGTTGGAAAACTGGATGGTTGCCGATGTATTAGAGTGCCCTTGTTGTATGTACCAATTTAATTTAGTGTTGTTATTTTTCTTTAATGTAAAGTAAAGTAGTCGTCCTGTGTATATATGTATTGCTTTTGGCTCTATGTCTTCGTCCTATGTATGTGATTTTTTGTAAGCTGAAAATCAATAAACATATTGATAAAAAAAAAAATTAGATAGGTGGATTTGAGCCGCTGCCTTCCGAATTAGCTGCAGAGGTCGGATGTTGTTGAAAGACCACATTATGAGTTTGACTGTGAGAGTATTAGTCGTGATTAATCCTGGAACCGCAGTGAAAGCTAATTCATAACAATTAGCATTTATAATATTGCAATCAATGATAGAATATACTAAGCATTCTATTAAAGAGGCCCTATTCTGCTTTTTGGATTTTCCCTTTCCTGTAGTGTGTTATAGGTTTCTGTGCATGTAAATAGTCTGCAAAGGCTAAAATCCCTGTGTTCCCTCCAGAGGGAGTTTCTCTCCCACACCTTCCCCCCCTGCCTGAAAGGCATCCATTGGACTCCTTTGTTTACTTCTGTGAAATAGTGACACTTGCGATTCTATTGGCTAGCCTAGCCATAAGGACATTGTACGTTATGGAGCGGGACATTTCCATCTCTAAGCAATTGACCAATCACAACCGACCAGCTAACCAATCAGAGCAGACTGGGCTCTGGTTTCAGACAGAGGGTGAAAAGAGGTTCTGAATCTGCAGCACAGGCAGTATGAGAACAATAAAGAGCTTTTTGAACATTAAAGCATGGGAATGTGTCACAGAAAATACTAAACCTGAAAATGAGCATAATAGGGCCCCTTTAAATATATTTTGGCGTAACTGAAAATGAGAATTATATGTACTCTTTGAATTCAAATGTCCTTTCAAGCTTTATATTTATGAGGTTGCATCATTCTCTATGATTCTCCATTTATGTTTAGCAAAGAGAACACAACGTTTTGTAGTAGAATGGATGTTGGAAATCCAAACAGCCATCATTCATTAGTAGTTATATTTCTACCACAAGATGGTAGCATATCCAGCCAATCCATGCAGGGAAGAATTTCTGCCTGGAAATGAGAGGCGGGTCCCAAAATAGAAGGAGAGTGAGGCAGCGGAGAGAGGGAATGGGAAGAAAGATGAGAAGTGAGTGGAGAAAACGGAGCATTTGAGTCTCTCATGCTGTCACATCTCAAGCAAAGTGTATCCATCCGGGGTCTAGAAAGTAAGATCTCTCTCTGTTTCTCTCCCTCCTTCCTTCTCTCTCTCTCCTTCCCTCCATCCTGACCAACTCCCCCTCTCTTTGCTGTGGTCAGACAGACAGATGAGTTTTTCCAGCCAGCCAGCAGACACATGTGGAAGCTGCTGCTGCCCTCCCTGCGGAGAGCTGGGTAGACGATCCTGGAGCCAGACTGCAGCAGCATGCCCCCTAACCGGCTCTGAACTGTCCACGTAAGTACGCCACACTCACATGCATGTGCTGTCAGAGGGAGGCTTGTTCCATGGTCTGTCTGCTGCATACACACTCTGTACACATGCTGACGGCACACACTCTGAACACGTGCTGTAAATTAGGTTGTTTGTGCTTTTGCCTCTAACTGATTCACCGGGAGCAATACATTTGCCGTGGGAAGTTATTCAGGGTATATCTTTTAAATCAGAAACATATGGACACACAGAAAAACGTCTAGACAGCTGAGTTGTGATGTCGTCTGTCAGCCCAAACCAAACATTCAGGTTCCATCGTCTGATAGGAAGATGAACCATCCAATGCCTACACATGTTTTTTTTTAAGTTTGTGTACTGTATATCTTTAAGGGTCATTTAACCAAAATCACAAAAGACATTACTTAACACTTCTATTATTTTTGTTTGTCCAGACGGTATATCATTGCCACTTTTTCCATGATCTTTGCAGAATTCTCAGCGTCTCCTCAAACAGCCTGGATAAAAGTAAAATGGAAAAATATTTTCAAAAGGATCTCCTTGCAAACTGCAAACTATAGGATAATGGAACGTATGAATCCAACCAGTATAACAGTCACTATGACTCTGAACATAGAAAGAGATGGTGATGCTGTTTTAGTGGTGAGGTCAGGGTGGTTTGTTTGGATAAAGCATTGGACTTTAATTCAGGAGACAGCTGTTCACTTCCTGTTTCCTACTCACAGTCAAGGGTATTTAAACCACATCATCTATCGTTCCCTAACCAAGTTTTATAACCATGACGGAAAAAAACATTTCACAACCGATCCAAATAGTTTTGGGTATTTTTGCCTAAATCAAACCAAACAATGTCAGATCATAAACCAGCTTAAACTGTTTTGGACGACACAGAAACATGATGTTGCTCCTAGTACTGACGGGGGTGTTAGATGAAGCAAACAGGCGGCCGTGCTTTGGTGGCCAAATGTTCAATTAAACCTCCATTCTAGTCTAGTTCCATTCTAGATTTTTTCCTATTGTCTAAAGGCCCGGACACACCAAGCTGACACCAAAGAATTGACACAGGCGGACCCCCGACTGTTGTGTCGCCTCGCGTCTCTGCATGTTGGCCATGTGTCACACTGGAACACACCGCAAAGACTTCAGCCGACGGCCAAGAAGCACGTATGAACTGCGTATGCGTGAGTGGCAATAACTCTCCTTACCAGCAGGCGCCAGTAGTGTGTATTCGTCGTTCAAAAGAGGCAACAACCGGAAGACAGACTGCATGATACACAGAGAGAAGAAGAACAGACTGCGTGATATACACAACAAACAACAAATAGCATGTGCATTCCATTTTCACTCTACAGCGAAAAGCTCATGGGGCTTTCACGAACCTGTGTCGAGAGCTGGAGTTAAATGAAATCTCAGATTTACCTTCTTAATCGTTTGTTTGGGTCCCTCACTTCCGTTTCGCTTCTCATGCACTGATTCGCTAGCTGAACAGCCAATCAGAGTGATTTATTTTGCCGACAGCTTTTGACCGAATGCCCACCGATTCAACATGTTCAATCAACATGTTGAATCGGTGGGTTTTTGGCCGAAAAGCTGTCGGCACGTCCGAAAAGACACGACGGTGCGGGAAACACCAATCTGAGTAGGGCGTGTCGACGCTCATCGTCGGCCTGACGCCCATCGACGGCCAAAATTGGCTTGGTGTGTCCGGGCCTTTACATTGGGAAAGAGATGTCTGTAAATCAGCTGACATTTTTTTAAAGTAAATAAACTACCCATTATAAACACTTGTATAGCCCTAATTTAAATCATTAGGGTCTAAAAGTTGTAAAATACGCTCAAAGCTGAATCAAGAGTTGAATCAGGAATTATTTTCCCTCTCAAGGAAAACTCAAGTGCGCATGGTCTATGGACCCGAAACCCAAAATTCTGGGTTATTTTGAATCTGCACTCGGTCCGTCTGAGTGACTTCCATATGAATGGAACCCCGCCGCTAAAGCTGTATCGAGTTCTCTTTGTACAACCATGGGTCGGACCAGGAAGAGTTTCTATGTTGTTCATATTAGGGACATGACGAGCATAAATACAGTGTGTGTCTAGGTTCTTAAGAGCCAAAAAACCTTGTAGAAGCCGTAGAGAAACAATCTCAACGACAGGAATTGAATCCAAGTGAAGTCTTACCTATAATCACATTTGATCACAAATGAAATAGTGTAATCTGGATTGATTTGGTGTAAGTGCTACAGATGTTAACCCTACAGATCCCTGCCTACTCTTTAGAAAAATGCTGTGTGCCAATGTGCCATCTTCCATTATATGGAGAGGAGGCAGACTTTGTTACAGCTGATATTTCCAATTCTCAGGAACTCACACAATAACAATATAAGCATTACAGGTAAAAGAAAGATTTTTTTTTTTTTTTAAGGGTGAACTCTACCTTTTCAATAAAAAAAAACGAATGTAATAATCCAAAGAGTTGACAAAACCTTTGATCTGGGCCTTTTTTACAGCCATCGTGAAATGTCATAACAAGACATTTCTTTTTGTCAAGATACTTTTCATGTTATAACAACATATTTCTATGCCTAATATCTACACCTGTATAACAAGTATTTTCTTGACCATTAAATTAGAGAAATATAATAAAGTAAAGTAAAGGACTGGTGAGACTGATCCTGTGAAGACACATGCAGGCTGCCATGGACTGAACCACTGCTGCTGTGCTCTCTTTCAAACCCCTGAGAAATAGTTTGGGAAAATCAAGTTTTCTCTACTTACATCCCACCACGCTAACAAGATGATGGAGATTAGCCGCTTATGAGACTCTAGAGTTTTGTTTTATAGCCTGCTAACTTGATTCCACTGTACAGCAGTCAATAAAAATAAACCGCCTGCGAGAAAATGCTTCAGCAGCTGCCACTGTATATGGAGATCTGCATTGAAGTGTAGGGAAAGGCTGAGAGGAGGTATTTAGCATGTGAACAGGCTGCAGTGTTCACTATCATACGACAACTGAAACTTTTTGCACATGGTATCGTTTTGCATAATCTTCAATTCCACACGTTTTATGACTTCACGACAAGAGGAGGTTATGTAGAAAACAATTACATGTAAAGGGTCTATGTTAGTATTTACCTGCATGCATTATTATGTTGAATTCCTTAAAGGAAAAGTGATATTTTATATTTGTATATCTTGGTAAAATTGAAAGTGCCAGAACAAACGGTTAATTGATCTTAATAACTGTGTGTCTATCCAAAGCCATTGCATCCTTGTATGCTGAGCCCAACCCACTCTCTTCAGTCTGCGCACAAATGACACGACTTTATACATTGGAAATGCGTGCAATAGATACGCAGAAGTCCGATTTTGCGTGCATATGATACGCTAACCATTCCCATTGAGATCTGAGGCCGAGTTTTGCGTGCATATGATACTCCCACGTTACGTTTGTTATGAACGTATCTCAAATACGTTTATTTTCTACATATCTTCTAGAAACATATTTTCTCCCATGTTACGTTTGTTATGAACGCATCTTAAATCGTTTTATTTTCTACATTATCTTCTTGCCATTTATTGTCTTGCTTATAATAAAGATAATAGTAATTTATAAATATCATTTTAGAGCACACATTTGAAATCGAGAATCGGGCTCGATATAGGCCTATGGTTAAATTAAAATCAGTAGGCGAGGCTGTAATTTCGCCATGAACGAGGCAGAATATAATAGTTTTATCATGCCAAAAAGCTGCTGTGTCGTTTATTGTCCCTCAAACATTATAACAAATCCAGAGTTACGTGTTTCTGTACTGCCTCTAAGAAGAAAGTACAGTAAAGAAAATCTCTGTGGCTTCAAGCTTGATCGCTGTTCAAATGACAGCGTTGGTACCCCAAAAGTGGGCTGGGCTGTAAAGTGACGTAGATTTTACTCTCATCTATTATTCAAAACCATTCTATTTATTCTAACGTAAATTACATGCCAGTGTTTTATCTTTTTATGTATATGTTTTTATTTTAAATTGTATAATGTCTGACTTTTTTTGCCGTCCGTGAGGAAAAGAAATGGGGCTCAGAGCCTCTAAATACTGAAATCTGTATTTTTTTAAATCTTTTTTTCCTTCTAATTTGTTATTCTTTTCTAAATAACACACTGTTATTTACTCACCAATAACACAAAATTATCCTTGTTTTTATTTATTCGTTTGATTCAATAATCTTGGGCTTTTTAGCATGCTTTTCAGTCGAAAATAAAGTCACCGGAAACAGACATTTCGAGCGATACACACCACAAAACCACTGAATTGATTACCCAAGATCCTCAGCTTGAAGCTCGTTGATTGGATGTTTTAGCCGCAATGCACGTTGGGATATGGTGTTAATGCGATATGATATCCGAAAACATTTAAAAAAAATAAAATAATACTTTATTCCGAGTGTTTTTGCTTTTCTCTTTGGAAGTCATCACATAACGGCATTGTAATACACGGTCCGGCTGCATTAAATATTACACATCTGCCGTAGTTCTTTATTTATAGAGCCCTGCTGAGAAGACTTCTGGACAAACTTGAAGAACTGCCGCCAAAACTGAATACGTGACGTGGATCATAAATATATCAAAGTTTGTCCAGAAGTCTTCTCAGCAGGGCTCTATAAATAAAGAACTACGNCCAGGGAATGGGCCGATGTTTCACAAGCCCATTGATCCTACACCTATCCAAGTTGAGTTTTGCGGTCATTGGAGAAGAGCAGCCCCATACCCTCACCATCAGCTGCAGTATCTGGGGTTTCTGCTCGATGCAGCAGACTACAGGCCCCCCTGTCAGAGATAGACAGCAATCCCTGCCTCCGGCAGTTTTTGCAGACTGGACAGGACAATAGTGTCAGCTTTGACCCATCATGCAGACTCTGCGATCTCATGGCGCTGCGCCACTCCGTGGCTACCACTGGGATTACTGCCTTATGCTTGCCTGCAGATGGTGGTTTGCTGTCTTCGTTTGGACCAGGGC